CTGGGATGCCTGTGTGCGACTGCACAAAGCTGCTGCTCCTGCCCTCCCTTTGTTTCTCCCACTTTGCCATCTTCTCAGTCTGCAGGAATTACTGAGTGCAGTTCCTGGCTTGGTCCTGTGGCTGCTGCCCTGCAGTGCCATTCAGGCTGGTACTGCAGTGAGCTGATGGCAACTGTGCCATTGTACTGCCTCAGGTGGAAGGCACAAGGAAGGCCATAGGAAGGGGTAGCAGATCCTGTGGTTTTATTCTTATTTTTTCTCCCTGATGAGAGCTTTTCTCAATAGTTTCATGCTGGGTTCTGCAGGCTCAACTGAAACTCATCCTAATGATGACTGTGAAAGAGAAAGGGAGAAGGGCTTGTCATGCAGCTTGGTGTGATTTATGTAGCTGTACATATATAAAGCACAAGCCTTCTTTTTCCTTGTTTTCCAGCTTGATTGTAACTGTAGAAATATTGAGGATGTCTTTGCTCTGTTTGCTTTACTTTGTACTGGAAAATTTCCAAGGGCTCAGGAATCAAAGGTTCCTCACCTTGGCCCTGCCTTCCGCTGAGATCTTGGTTCCTAGATGTTTATCAGAATTGATTTAAAGAGGTGTAACAAAAAGGGGGGGTGGGGGAAGACACCCCCAGCTCTGCTTTCATAGCTGGGGTTTCACTTTTCTGATATGGGATGTGGGTGATCTGAGCAGCTCCTTGGTCACCTCTCTTTTTCCGGATCAGAGTGAGCATTACCTCAAAATCTGAAGTTGGAACAGGTTTTTGCTTGTCTCAAAACCACCCTTACAGTCTGTGAGAGGCTGCCTGCCTGCCCTTCTGTTTTCTTCTGATCTTCCACCAATTTCAGCATAGAAGCCCATCCAGAAACACAACCCTCCTGTCAATGGGAGCAGATGGGTTTGCAGTGCTTTGGCCCAGTGGAGGAAATGTTCACTTTGACCAAAGGCTCTGAGGAAGCTGAAATTCTTCAGATTGTTTTCTCATTTGGAAAACAAACTTTGAAAGAATTAAGATGAAGGTGAAAAGTTCAGCTCATTTCCTCCATTAAGGGTGCTCAGCTTCAGTTCCAGTCCCTGGGCCGAGGCAGGGAGCTACTGTTCTGACTGTCCCAAACAGCCTGAGCTGCTGCTGGCTCTTACTGATCTCTCACTGTGATATTTATGGTAGCTCTGTCCAGCTATACTCGATGCAGCATTCAGCCAGGAGGGCTCAGAGCCTGGGATCCCTTTGCTGGTGCTGCAGACCCCTGGCCTGGAGGTGTTGGTGCTCTTTGCCCTTGGCTGCAGGACACTGCAGTCCTCCTGCTTTCCCAGCACTGTTCTCAGCGTTTCGTGTGCAGGAGAAGCACTGAAGCAGAGGCAGATCTGATGTTATCCTCAGGGCTGTGCGCTTTTTGCTTTTCTTAAGGTTTGAGCAACAGTCATGAGGGGGATTGCAGTACAACCACAGCTTCTGTCTCCTCACCGGAAGGTGTGATGGATTTCCCTGCCTTTCTGTATTAATGTACATTGCAAAGAGCTCTGAAATCCCATCCTGGTACAAGTGTGAGTTGTGTATCTTCTTAAAGGACAAAGGGACCAAAACTTTAAAACGTGGCCAGAGGTGGAGATGTCAATTGTTTCCTTTGCAGTGCTGTGGCAGGGCTGGGTGCCAGAGGTTTTGCTGGGCTGCCCAGCTGGGCTGCTGTGGCACTCAGTTCATGATGTGGTTCCAGACCCTTCCTTGTCCCTCAGTAGCCATATGCTTGCAATCCTCTCTGGATCTCTTATCCATTTCTGGTTAAAGCTTGAGATTTACTGTCTCCTCTGCTTATCTGTCTGGAGCTCTGTCCATTCTCTGCATGCTGCCCTCCCAGTGCTGCTTCAGCTCTCTGGTGCTTTGATGCCCATCTGGTCAGGTGTGACTGTGCTGTGAGCCCCTGCAGAGCGCTCTGCCTCAGTCTGCAGATTGCTGTGCTGCACAAAACAGAGGATTTGAAGTTTTATTGCACATAGAACGGCCTGCTTGCTTGCTGCTGAGAATTCAGTGCTGTTTGGCAGCAACCTGTCAAGTAGTCTGATTGATTCACCCTCAAGAGAGGCTGAAATGAGACCTGAACAGCTTATAACATCAGAGCTTCAGTTCTGATCTTGATTTCCACCATTTCTACTGCTGATCACCATTGTGCCCTCAGTCAGGAGTGTCCCCTGGGTATGAGCTGCATTGTAAAGAGCATTACAAGGTGTAGGTAAGAGAAGCTGATGCAGAACTTGAATAATTAGCTGTAATTTCTGTTACAGTTGGGTGGAAGATATTTGCATGAGTTAATTATTGACCCAGTTGCTTAGATTCCATTTCAGCCTGATGCTTCCTGACAAATATTCAGGAAAGCTTACAGGTCTTGCTTAAGCCATTGAGAGGAAAGCTGCATCCCAAAGCATTCCCTATGCCTGGTTAGTGCAGAACTCAGGAGGCTGAGGCTCCCACTACTCAGTGGTTCACTTTAAAGCTGGTTGTATTGAAATGTGGGCTGTTTCATGCTCTGTCACTTTAAGACAGACTTCTCATGGATGTGTTCCAAAAATGTCAGGGTCTGAACAGCATGTCCCTCAATCTCTAAACAGTCTTCTGATGTTAGAGGGTGGGTTTCCCCAGGGTGAAATTTAGGAAAGGAAGGAATAAAATTTTACAACTCTAAAAAGAAAGCAGTAGTGGGAGCACTGTTTTTCTTTGCCATCATTTGTGGATTCAGCTTGAAGTACTGCTCATTGGATGGTGACTTTGGAAAATGGAGAGTCCTTTTGGTTATTGTTTTAATCAATGGACTGTAGACCTTTCTCTTTTTAGATGCAATGATGGCCTGGCCCAGGGTGATGGTTTTGGAAGCTCTGAGCTCCCTATGTTGTGACTGGGAAAGACCAGAGGCCCTGCAGATCCAGAACTCCATACTGAAGGCTTCCTGCTTGTGCTTGCGTGCTTCTCACTGATCTCCTGAACTTGAGGATGCGTGCAGCAATCGGAGCAGCCCAGTGGCTCCTGGAGGCACAGCGATAGCTCTCTTATCTCCAGCAGCTTTGCTGTCACATGAGAAGCAAAAGCACCACAGCCAACACTTCTCAGCTGCGGAGCTGCCCAGACCCAGCACTGGTACCAGGTGGCAGCTGTGCAGCTCAGTGCGGAGTGCTGATAACAGCTCAGGGCTGCAAACAGGACACTCCACCCTGCTGCAGCACCCGGCTCACTGCAGCCATGGCACGGCCTTTCTGTCCCTGCGTGCTGCTCACAGCCCAGCTCATGCCTTGTGGTTCTCCTAACGGGAGCTGCAATGCTGCTGTAGTGTGCATGGGGTGCTGTGCACCATGGATGTTTCCCTGCTGAGCTCCAGGTGCTCGTGGGCTGCATCTGGGGCAGCAGCCATACGGGATGGAGGTGTGAATGATGGGGCACTGAAGAGGAAGCTGCAAACATTAACAAGTTTCTAAATTAGTGGTAGCTGTCTTAGGCTATTAACTGTTGGAAGTGGGGAGTATGTCTTGAGATGCCAGCTGGGCCAGCACAATAAGCCTTTAATCCTGTGTGGACCTTGTGAGGTGTGGCTGTGGTGCAAGGACTAATGCTATTCCAGCCCTCCGACGTGGCTTTTTGTTCCTACCCTTCTCATCTAGAACTCAAATTCCACTTCTCAAATGGTATTTTAGCTGATAAAAAGAGGTATTTACCCAGCCACGTCCCCAAACAGTGAGAGCTGAGACACCTCTGTAGAGGTATTTGGCACACACACAGTGTGGTGCTGAGCAGTCCTGACGCTGGGTTCAATGTGGTCAACTCGCTGCCAGCCTTACCTTGAGTTTGGGGAGGAAGGAGAGAATGTCTGTGCACAGCACACCTGGAGCAGAGCTGCTCCTGGCCTCACTACCCTGCCAGGAGGCCATGGGGCTGATTCTAATAGTGTGGTAATTTGCATGTCTAATCAAAATGAAATGCAAACAGACTTTTCTGCTGGCTTGAACTTGCCTCTCATGATTGCTGCGTTTTTGGGTTTGGTGATAACAGCTTTCAGCTGCAGGGCTGGTGACAGGGCTGTAGGAAAGGGCAGCTATGCTGTGTGTTGCTGTTTGAACCACTTCTATACATGAAGCTTTTCCTTCTTGGTGTTTGTAGGTACTGTTGTGCAAATCTGCACAGGTGAGGGGTGGTCTCCTCCTGGAAGAGGGAAGCTGGGCAGAGCAGGCACTGGGCTGCAGGGTGGGTGCTGGGGTCCTGCCAGCCTGCCCTGGGTTACAGCAGCATTCAGGTTGTGCTCTTCCTTCCTGCTGGTTGCTGGGTGAGTGCCTGCAGCTGCTAACGGCAGTCAGTGTTCAAGACTGCCTGCAGGATCCAGAACTCTGCAGGTGTTCTCTTGGCCTCCCTTGGCTGGGAGCAGACGATTGCGTGCTTCCTCTGCTGAAATCAAGGCTTGCAGCCTGCCCATCACTGCTGGGTCTTCCCACAGGAGGAGCCTGGGTTCTTGCAGCTGAAGCATTGTGCTCTAGCTAATAAGAAATAGGGCTCTGTACACATCATGATGTTTTTTTCCCATGCAGAAGCAAGGTTGCCCTGTTGAGCACTTCACCTGGTCGTGTAGCAGCTCCTTTGGCTTAGACTGGAATGTCTGATCACTGGTTTCAAGCAGGCACTGAAGGGCTGCAGTAAAATCTCACTGTCGCTCAGTGCTAAGGGAGGGCAGGAGCTCCACCAGCCCTCACTGACCCACTCTGCAGCATGGTTCTGATGGTCCAGGAGCAGCAGTGCTGTGCTGAGCAGCATGGCCTGGGCACCAGAGCTGCTGCTGCTGCAGGACTGGAAGCTCAGGGCCTTCATTAGCACTTAGATTTCCAAGAAGTGAATGAGCTTTTCCAGGTTCTGTGTGCTCCCTCCCTTCTTGGGATCTTTGCAGTGGACGTGGGCTTGCTGGCGGGGATGGCTGTTGCTGGAGCTGTGCTTTGGAAGCCTTAATGTCCTCCTCTCTTCTCTCCTGTGTAGCGAGTGTTCCCTGTGCTGCTGCTGCTGCAGAGAAACCCTGCCGGCCCCGGCAGCCCCGCGTGCGTCGCACCTCCTCACTGGACACCATCGTGGGCTCCTACCTGCTGGGGCAGTGGCCACGGGATGCTGATGGAGCTTCTGCCTCGTGCATGAATGACAAAGCTACCCAGGTATGGATACAGGCTGTGCAAGAAGTTCTTGGGCCAGGAAGGGGCTGCAGAACTGCAATGGGTGTAAACTGGGCAAAGAGAGGAAAAGTTGCATTTCCCCTCCATCCAGCTGCAGCTTTCTAGGAAGGCTGTTTTTCCCCTTGTGCTTTTCAGCTCCATGATTCCATTTCGGTGCAGTTAGAATTTCCTTGGCCTTGTTTGGAGGCAGATGGCCTCTGGCTTTCTGCTCCAGCCCTGGCTCACTGCTCGTTTTTTTTCTGGCTTGCAGCTATGGGCCAAGTCCTTATATAACACACATGGGCTGTGTGCCACACGCTGAGACGGTGAGGGTGCTCCCACAGAAGGGCTCACTAACACAGCACAGCTCTACTGTAGGATGGAAAAGCTCCAGACCTCAAGGAACTCTTAGCAACCTGTAAATATTACTGCATGGCAGCAAATAGTGCTCGCCTATCTGCAGAGGTGAAGGAATTCAGAAGGATAAGAGCATCCGTTAGCTTAGCAAGCCATTTATTTAGCACACTCAATCTGTGTTAACTTGCTGTTTGATCTTTGCTGTTCAACAATTTATTACTGAGCTGTTTGCAGGAAGTTCCCAATTGGATTCCAACTTCCATTGTCCTTTCCCAGTGTGTTCTGCCTGCTTTTGTTTCAGTCCTGGTGCCCAGGAGTGCTGCAGAGGGCATTCTGGAAAGGAAAGGATTTGTCAACCTTCATTTCTGAGTGAGGGAAGTGCACTCTTCCTTTCTGTCTCAAGGCAGATTGGTGAGCAGTGAGCTCTGGCACTTTGCAGCCATTCAATTCCCCTTGCACTTGGTCCTTGGGGGGAAAGGCTGTAAACTGGGGGCACCTCCTAAGGATGGAGCTGCTGGCTGTGCTCAGTGGGCCAGCTGTGCTGCAGTCCTTCCTCTGCTATCTGCAAATGCTAATGTGACCTTGCAACACGCCAGTGAAAGGAGCAGTGATCTCCAGCATTTCACATATGTGCTTCACTGGTTTGTGTGTATATCAGATGACTTGGCTGTTGTGGAAGCTGGGAATAAAGTCCTCTGTTGTGGCCTGCTCTGTGCTCTAACAAAATGTTCCTCCAGGAGGCTGACGCCCCTTCCATGCTTTCAGGCATAGCAGCTCTCAGAGCTGGGACTTTCTCTGCCTGTCAGTACGTGTTTACTTTCCTCCTTCCACAGCTACTGATCAGCTGTTGTGCAGAGCTCTGTAGATTTGCTATCGTAAGGTGGTTAAGTGAGATACAACTGCAGGTGCTCAATGTGGGGGAGAGTGGCAGCAGCGTGCATGGCTGCAGCGTGTGCCTTTATCTTGCTGTGCAAAGTGTTTTTTTTTTTCCCCCTCTGTCTGAGGAAGCAGTTTTGCCACAGTTAGTACAAAAAGTTCTGTAATTTCCTTCTGCTGTGACAGTCTGCCTAGAAAAGGAGCGAGATGCACATACATTCTTTATTTTCAGGTTTTCCTGTTGCAAGAATCATCGCTTCTTCCTTTCTGGGCCCTGTTTCTTGGCAGTAGTTTGGTGCTATGGGTGTCACAGCCATAGAGCAGGGTGTTAAAGGAGTTGTTGCTTGAGAAGCTTCAGGTGCCTTAAGTTTTTCTCACGTCCTGGGCTGTTCCAGCAGCTGAAGCTGAGCTTCCCAGCCTTGCCTTCAGCAGTAACATGAGATGGAGCTGAGTCTTGCCTCTTCTAGCTTTCCTCCTTAGCTTTCCTACGTACGTGATCTGCTGGGATGTGAAATGACACAATGTTCTGGCATAAACACCAAACGCTGTCTGAGTTGTTTAGGAGAGACTATTTGAGGTAGGAAATGAGATCAGATGTGCCATGTGCTCAAAGTGTAGGGTTAGCCTGAGCTGCAGGACTTCCTATGGGAGCAGCCTGCTCCTCCACGGGGCGGCTGAGGCTGCTCTGAGCTCAGCAGGACCTCACAGTAATGCTTCAGGCTGAGCAGATTGCTTCTGTCAAACCAAACTGAGCACTGCACTCCGAATGTAGCAGCTGCTGTGCTGCCATGCCTGCTGCTCACTGGTCCTGTGGATGAAGACCCAGGCAGCAAACACTGTGGTGGGAGTGTTGTACCCTGCTTGGGGGGAGTGCAAGGAGGGGCTGCCTCAGAGCCTGTGACTTGGGGCAGGGTTGGATTTCTGTCTGGAAGTCACCTGCATCCAGTTACCAAAGGAAAGCCTGGTACCTCTCCAGATAACTTGCCTTGTTCCTTTGGTTTACATACATACTAAAACACGTTTTGAGAGAAGAGGCTTCTGTCATCCTGCTGACTATGGAGCTGTTTCCAACAGCTGCTGTTCTTGCAGTGGCCTCAGGGGAGATGCAGAGCTGCTTGGAGAGGAGCTGTTCTCAGGCCCTTGCACCTCCGGGCAGCCTGTCCCTGAGGATGGAGGAGGGGAGCATTATCAGAGCCTCCCACAGCACGGCAGGCAGTGTGGACACGGGCTGGGTGTTTTGAGAGGGCCTGACATGTGATGTTGGGAAAAAGCAGCCCTGCAGCTGATGTGCCTTGGGACCGTTCTGATGCTGGAGGCTCCGCTGAGGAGGACTGAGTTCAGTGGAAGGAAGTTCACACCCATGGCTGATCAGATCAACGGCCCCTTCTGATTGCCATTGATACTCATAATGTAGCTGTTGCTTAGAAAAAACAGCTGTGCAATGTGCTGGAGCTGTTTTTGTGCACCAAGAGTCAGCTGAGAGCTGCCAGCCCTTCAGCCAGGCATGAGCAGCAGAGGCAGCTGGGCTCTTCCAGCGCTCCTGCGGCAGCATTGAGTCTGCAGGCCAAACCCTGCTTTTGGTTACGCCTTTGAACTGTGATAATGGGAGCCTGAGGTCTCAGAAGCAAGCTGTGTGTTCTCACAGCTGGGTGAGGCTTTTCCTCCCTGTAAGGCTGCTGTGTACAAATGAGTGCTTGAGTCTCTACGTCACCCTGCTTTGAGCTGCAGCCCGTGCAGGCAGCGCCAGGGCGTGAGGAGCAATGGCTGTGCCTCACATTGCCAGGTACCCGTGGGAATTGAGGCACTGTGTGCTGAGCAGCTCTGTTGCCATGCAGGTCCGTGAGGTCCAGTTTACTTCAGAGGCACAAATTTGGTTAAAATGGTGAGGTTTTGGTGAGTACTGAAAGAATGCGATCTCAGAGTGCTTTACTGAGTGATAATGGGAGAGGAGCAGTAGTTGACCACTTTTATTCTTTCGGACTCTCCCAGCAGCCTCAGAGCAGTAAATGTGATTGTTTCTCCTCACTTCAGACCCCGGTGTCCTGGCATGATGCAGAAGTGGGGAAAGCCAGCTCCAGTGCTCACAAGCGTTCTGCTTCCTGGGGTAGCACAGATCACCGCAGAGAGGTAAAACAGATCACTCCCAGCACTTGAGCAAAGTCTGTGTTAGCTGTTGATGTGCAGGAGGCTCCTGCTTGCATGGGATGGGAGTGGGAGGACAGGGTTGTAGATGAGAGATTAGAGATGAGATGTTAGCCCTCATTCTCACCTCTAATGCTGTGCTTGGACAGGAGGCTGATCTCACAGGCAGCTGTTATAAAGAAACTCCTCTGGAGCTCAGTGCATTGCTTGTAGGTGTCACAGTGTGTGTGGGTTCTAGCAGGGCCTGGCCCTAATGCTGCAGGTGGAAGATAACCCACATCCAATGGAACTGCCCACATTGCCAAGGGGCAGATTTTGGTGAGGCCTTGTGGGCAGTCTTTGCTCATCCTTGGAGAAGCAGCCAGAGCAGCTTGTTGTGCGATTGGAACTGTCACTATTTTGGCACTCCCTCGTGGGTTGAGAGAGGGGAGGAGAGAGACAAGATATGATTTTTTTTTTTTTGGTGGAGGTGTATTGGCTTGCCTCATTTTGCAGCTGAAACTTTATTTGCTAGATTGCCAAACTGAAGCAGCAGCTCCAGCGAACAAAGCTAAATGGCAGAAGTGGCAAAGAAAAGGAGAAGAGCTCCCCGCTGCAGGGGGACCACGCTGTCCTTGGATCACTCCGGGTAGGTTCACATCTCCCTCTGCTGTCACTGTGTGTCCCAATGAGATGGAGTGCAAACTCCTGCTGGCAGACATCCCAGCTGTTCTTAGACTTCTGCTCAGTGTCTGAGAAAGAGGAGGGGGGGCATTTTTTCTTCCTCCTCCACTGCTTCAGCAGATCCCCGTGCTCTGGCCAGCACTTGGTGGATTTACGTGGCTCTTCTGTCAGTCTTTGCCAGTCAACCTCCTCAAAGGCTCTGGCTGAGCACTGGAGTGCTTTGACATCAGAATGGAACTGAGAAATGGCTGAGTTTGTGCTGTCACAACTAACATCTTTGACTCTGGGTTGTTGCAGGACTCTCCTTCAGGCTTCCTTTCTTCGTCTCCTCTTCTGAGGCTCAGTCCTTGCTTGCACAGGAGCCTCGAAGGGCTAAACCAGGAACTAGAGGAAGTGTTTGTGAAGGAACATGGAGATGAAGAACTTTTGAGGGTGAGTGAAGGTTGAAGGATCGCCCTGAATCTCCTGGATGGTCTCTGAATGCTTTTCTCTCATGACACTCACTGCCCATATCTGCTTCTTGGCCATGGGAATGGTCTCTGTGTTCAGTTCTAGGCATGTAGCTGCCTGAACGGCTCTTGTCTTCCTTAGACTTGGTGCTGTGGGAGATCAGCCAGTAGGAATCTCAGCAGCACTGAGACACTGTGTTAGATCAGCATCCAAAGGCTGCTTCACACCATGCAGATGTGGGAGGTGATCCCAGCCAGCCTGTAAGCAGAAGTGTGTTACAAGGGATGCAGAAGGGTCTGTGTCCTTCTGCTCTGTCTGTGGCTGAGCCTCTGCTGGGAACCAGCACCCTGAAAAATACTGTCTGTAGGTGCAACTGCTTCTTCACCTTTTCTCTGGTGAAAGGGGTGGGTTTCTTCTTGTTCTGCTGAGACTTTGCTTCTTCCCTAGATCTTGGATGTCCCAGATGGCCACAGAGCACCAGCACCTGCACCGAGAAACTCTGGAGATGCCTCCCTGATGCTGGAGCCCAGCAGTGGCAGCTGCAGCAGTCTCTCGCTTTCTCCTTCCCCTTCTGTGCCTCTCCGCCTTTCTCCACACACTCCAGTGAGACTGGTGGCAGAAGAACTCTCCTCTGCTGTGGATGAGGTGCAGTTGGATCCAAAAGAGAAAGGCAAGTGCTGAGCCCAGCAGCTGGGAAGCTGTGGGAGGATGAGGAGGCTGTGTGGTGGATTGGAAGCTGCAGATGAGGTGGGAAGGGATGTCAGCTGCCTTGAATAATAATGGACTTCCTAAGTCCTGGTAATTACTCTCCAAGTGAGTGCTATCCTGTTGTACTATATGGTGGTTATGAGCAGGGAGCTACGAAGATAAAGTGCTTTGCTTTTAGCTCGCACCCACAGCGGTACTGGAAGAGCATGCTTGGAATTAGCTTAAACTTCTGTTGGATTCTCATAGAAATTTTTTAAAATGTGTCTTTCATCCCTTGTAGAGGAGGGCAGCCCTTCTCCAGTCCTGGCTTTTGCTTCCTCTCCTCGGCCCAACCACAGCTACATGTTCAAACGGGAACCTCCTGAGGGATGTGAGAAAGTCCGGGCCTTTGAAGAAGCTTCGTAAGTATGAGGAGTTATGGCAGAGGAGAGCTCAGCTGAGGTTGGTCCTATGGCAGGATGCTGAGGTGGGAGCAGCTGAGGCTTCAGTTGTGCTGTTGTGCCCTGCTCTGAAAGTAGGGAGCAGTCTCTAAGGAAACACTTCTGCAGCAAAACCTTGGTTTAGATCCTGGTGGAATTGCTGAAAGCTGCAACGTTAACCCTGAGACACACTGGGAAGGATGTTGTGATTTCTGCCTTCCCAGGCAGTAGATAATTCTCAGCCAGCACAGCCTCTTGAAAACGAGAGCTGCTTTTCCTGTAAATAAGTGTGCTTTCAAAACAAAACAGGCTCATTGTGCTGCTCTGTGCATGAGGAGCAGCCCAGCTCACAGCAAAGCGATTCAGCTTTTAGTCAGGCTCTTTGAAGAGCACACAACCCCAGGTGTTCTCCCCGCAGCCGCAGGCAGTTTGGTGCTCTTGGGGAGCATCTGTTGCTGATCACATCCTCTGTGTCTTTTTCAGCTCCAGCCCTGACCACACCTTTCAGCCTTCCTGCCCAGATAAGAACAAAGTGCACTTCAACCCCACGGGCTCTGCCTTCTGCCCTGTCAGCCTGGTGAAGCCTCTCTTCCCAAATGTGGGCTTTCTCTTTAGCAGGGGCTTTCCAGCATCATCCAGCCCTGGCACGGGCACGTTTACATCCTGCCAGCCCTCAGCCCCCACGCCATTCCTTGGGGCACGGAAGGACGCTGCTGTAGATAACTTCAGCGACGCCTCCAAGTCGCCTTCGCTCAATTATGAACACTGGAAACGTGGGCAGCCAGAGGAGAGCGTCGTCTTCCACAGCTCTCTCGTTGTGTGAAGCTTTTGGGAAAGTTAGCCAGCAACAGCAGCTCTGGCTCCTCAGTGCATCTCGGCCATCCCATGGAGATCAGTGCCTTGAGGTTGGGACTTGACAGCCAAGGGGCAGCTCTGGGCCTGAAAACCACAGCAGGCTGCCAAGGATGAAAGCAGCTGTGAAGTACCACGTTCCACAGGACTCCTCGCTGCTGCGGGAGGGGCTCATTTCCCCGAGCCTCCCCTGTTGAAAGCACTTTCCTGCGTTGAATTGTCATTTCCTGTATGATTGTTTTGCTGGTGAAGAGCAGCTGGGCACCCCTGCGGTGGGCGGAGCTGCGCTCCCTGCCTCTGCGGTTGAGCCGGGAGGATTCAGGTGGAGCTTCCCCAGCGCTTCTCATCCCTGCTGCAGCCGCTGCCTGGGGCTTGCTGAGCTCGGGGAGGTGGGAAGGGGGAGAAGGGTCTCATAGCACGGCTGCTCCAGGGGCGGGGGAGCAGAAGCTGCTGTTGATCTGCGTTGGTGTGACACAGACAGCAGCGTTCTCTGCCTGCGCCTCCATGGATGCCTTCAGCCCCTGAAATCCCGGAGCTTTGAGGAGCCCTGAGACAGCTGTGCCGAATGGGGGGAGCGCGGGTGACCAAATGCCGCCCTCCGCAGGGGGAGGAAAACTTGCCTTACTGCAAGGAGTGAAGGAGAGAGATGTTGGCTGCTCAGGAATTGGCAGAGCTGCCTGCCAGGTGTCCCCAGTGCTTCGGCCACAGTGCGGGAAGGAGGGATGGGAAACAAACTGCAGTGCTGGGAGGCGCCCAGCCCTGAGCCCACAGAGCTGCACAGCGGGGCTGGGGCTGCCGGGGGGGTTTGGGGTTCGTGGGCTGCAGAGCAGAGAGCAGAGCGATGGGACGAGGACACGGATTGTAAAAAGCCTCTTAACAACAGCGTTTGGTTGTGTTCTGTTGCAAAGGCTCTGGGTTGTACTGAAGAAGCCTATTTTCTTATATCTGATGTAGAAACTCTATTTTCTTCCAAAGACACTATTTTTGCAGCTGTTTGAAGTTTGTATTTTATGTATGTATTGCAAAGCTTAAAGGAGGAACGTTAGATTCGGCGTTGTGTTTAGAGGGGTTTTTTGCAGATGCTGGTGTTGACAGTTACGTGGAGAAAATAAACTATTTCGTGCATCCGCAGGCCCTCGTGTTTTAGGGGGGGCCGGATTTCATATTCCCGAGTCTGACGGCGCCGCAGCGCTGGGAGGCGCTGAGCGGAGCTCCGGGTTGGGGAGCGCAGCGAGTCCAGCCGCCGAAGGGCTCGGCGCTGCGCATGCGCACAGCGCGCCCGAGTCGCTCAGGCGACGGCGGGAACGCCACCCGGGCCCCGCCCTCCGGCCGCGCAGCCAATCACCGCGCTCCACATCTGCTTGCATCACCGCTGGAGCAGCGCTCGGTGAAGGCCCCCAGCTCGGGGCTGCCCCGCGCGCCGCCTGTCTCCAGAAATCCCCGCAGCCGCGATCGCGGCCGAACCGCTGCGGCGGCGACCTCGGAGAGGAGGCGAACGGTTTCGTTCCGCGGCTCCGGGATGGTTTCGCTCGACGTCTCGCGCCGCTCGCTCTCCCCCAACCCCGCCGCGGATCCGGCAGCGCGCAGGGCGGGCGCGGCCGGGCCGGGTGGGTCCTGCGCCGCGGGCGGGCGCACAGCGGGTGTATGAGGCCGCCCGCTCCGCCGCCGCCGCCGGCCGCGCTCCGCGATGTGGCTTTGGACGTGGGCCCGGCGCTGAGCGGCCGCGCCGCCGCTATGGGAGCGAACGCGGGCGGCCCCGCGCTGCCCGAGCGCCTCCGCCTGCCCGTCTGCTTCCTGGGCGTCTTCGCCTGCTACTTCTACTACGGCATCCTGCAGGAGAGCATGTGAGCGGCGCGGGGCCGGCCCGGGGCTCGGGGCTTTCCCTGCGCCGCCGGCTCACCGTGTCCCGCTCTTGCAGCACGCGGGGGAAGTACGGCGACGGCGCCCGGCAGGAGAAGTTCACGTACGCGCTGAGCCTGGTCTTCATCCAGTGCGTCATCAACGCCGCCTTCGCCAAGCTGCGTGAGTCCGGGCTGCCGGCGGGGCTCCCCGCGCCCTGCGGCTCTGAGCGCCCTGAGCTCCGTCGCAGCCCTGACGCTCCTCCGCTCTCCCCGCAGTGATCCGTTTCTTTGACTCCGTCAGGGTGGATCGCACGCACAGCTGGCTCTACGCCGCCTGCTCGCTCTCCTACCTGGGCGCGATGGTTTCCAGCAATTCGGCCTTGCAGTTCGTCAACTACCCGACCCAGGTGAGCGTCGGCCGCTCCGGGAACAGAGCTCCGTTCATTGACCTGCGGTTCGCTGGCCGGGAGCTGCTGCTGATGGCTGTGGGCTGCAGGCCGTGGCTGAGCACTGAGCCTTTGGTTTTGTCGCTTTGTGGCGGGGCTTTGTTGGCTTTCCTGCAGGAGGTGCATTGGTCGGCGCGCTCACACCGCAGGCAGGAGGTGGGAATTCTGGTGGTTAATGTGCTCTTTTTTTTGACAGGTCCTAGGCAAATCCTGTAAGCCCATTCCAGGTAAGCAAATTAAATGCTTCTTTGCGTGTATTTCTGTGTGTTTCCCGTGTCCTTTGACCAACCCGAGGAGCTCAGCTGTAAAAACAGTGCTGTGTTGCAGGAACAGCAGCTGTGCACCATTCGGCCCCGTGTTCTGTTCTATGGGCAGCTGTATTCCCACATGAGGATGTGGGCTTCATGATGTCACTTCTTTTGCAGTCATGCTTTTAGGTGTGACTGTGCTGAGGAAGAAATACCCGCTGGCCAAGTACCTCTGCGTCCTCCTGATAGTCACAGGCGTGGCCCTGTTTATGTATAAGCCCAAAAAGGGAGCTGGGGGTGACGACCACATCTTTGGCTACGGGGAGCTCCTTCTGGTGAGTGCTGCTGGAGTGCAGGGAGCTCGGAGATGCCTGGTGGCAGCTGTGGGGAGGATGGAGCAGTGAGAGCTTTGTACAGCAAGAATACCCTAAAGGTGATGTGGAAATGCTTCCATGCAGTGGGCACCTCATCGAGTTTGAAGGATGCATGTCTTTCTGTCTGTTTTGAGGTCGCATCATTGGTGTTTAACAGGTGTTTGGGATGTCTCGAACGAGGGGAGCGAGCTGAAGGTTCCTTTGCTTTACTCATATCTCTGTCTCCTTTTGTCAGTTGCTGTCGCTGACCTTGGATGGGCTGACGGGTGTATCTCAGGACCACATGAGAGCTCACTATCAAACTGGCTCCAATCACATGATGCTGAATGTTAACCTCTGGTCCACCTTGTTCCTGGGAGCTGGTAAGGAACGCCCTGCACAAAGTACAGCCTGCCCTGCAGCGCCCTGTGGGAGCAGCGCCGTTTTTTGCTCCCTAAAGGACCTGGAACGATTGTTGCAAAAGAACTTGTTTGTGTATTCAGTGTCTGGGTGTTCGGTGCAGCTCTTCTGATGCCCACCAGAGGACACTGCTTCACACACAGCTTAACTCCCCATCGTGAGCTCTGTGCTGAGCAGCCCTCCGTGCTGCTGGCTCCTGCTGCGTTATGAATGTGAACTGAGATTATGCTCTGTAGGCTGAGATTATGCTCGGGCTGCCTCTGGGTGAATAACTCATGCTTCTCATCCCAACCCTTCCTGCAGGGATCCTGTTCACTGGAGAGCTCTGGGAGTTCGTGAGTTTTACTGAACGTTATCCCAGCATCATTTACAATATCCTGCTCTTCGGGCTGACGAGCGCGCTGGGTCAGGTAAACTGCCCTTGTTCTGCAGCCTTCACTGAGGTTTGTTTGCACAGCTGGGAGATGGCAGAGCAAAGTTGCCTCGCTTTCTGTTGCTTTAATTATTACTGCTTTCCATGTAGGCTACCATAAAATTAAAATGGTTATATGGAAGTAATCGGGAGTTGAATTCTTTCAGCTTTGGCTGTGTGGCTGAAAATATGATCCGCGCTGTATCTTTTGTGATGAAAAGCACCTGTTTGTTTTTCAGAGCTTTATTTTCATGACGGTGGTTTACTTCGGACCTCTGACCTGTTCCATCATCACCACAACACGCAAGTTCTTCACCATTTTAGCATCCGTCATTCTGTTTGCCAATCCCATCAGCACCATGCAGTGGGTGGGGACGGTCCTGGTGTTCCTGGGTAAGTCTGGGCAGCAAATCCGAGCTCTTCCTTTTGTTAACACACAGCGGGGGGCAGCTATAAAAGATGCTGGTCAGAAAATAGAATTGTACGGAATGCTTCTGATGGAAGAGTGTGCTACAGCCTTAGCAGAGCAGGGGAAGAGGAACAGGAAATCCACCAGAGCTGTGGGGTCTCCTTTTCCCCATACCTGCAGTGGCCATCACTGAGTTAGTGCTGTAACGCTGATTTTTCACGCAGCTCTTTGTGTAACAGCTGTCTGATGAACCTTTCCATGCACACGGATTGTTTTGTCTCTTTGCAGGCCTTGGACTTGATGCCAAATTTGGAAAGGGAGTAAAGAAGACATCGCATTGAGGAGATGGTGGATCTCTGCTGTTGGAATGAACTTTTAATTTATTGTCTTGTACCTCAAAGTCTGTTATGAAACTGGACTCAGGATTGGTAATCAGAAGGGGAATGTCTGGATTTTTTGTTTTAGTTTTTTAATTACAAATTGCTTCAGTTTTAACTGTAATCAAGTATTATGGTTTTTTTTCTGTAATCAAAGGTGCAGTACTAGATCCTAGCAGCAGGATGAAATTCTTGCCTTAACAGAAAAAAAAAAACTTCATATCTTTATTAAAGAAAAGGAAACAATGGCCACTTCTCCAGGACTTTAACTTGAATACTTGGCTGACGATGGGGAGGCAGAGCACAGCTTTCTCCAAGGAGAGGAGGGCTGTCGGAATGATGTTAGCATGGTGCAGCCTGGGAAGGTCCCAGATTAAATGCCTGTGTTGGAGATAACCCTCTCTTCTGGTTGACTGTATGATTATTTTTTTCCATAATGGAGCAGCCAGTCAGACACTCTGCTATTAACATAATGTGTTGCACTGTATTCTTCACCTGAGCCCTTCTGAACAGGCAACCCTTGGCATATGTAAAAATGTACAGGAAATCTGTTTAACCACTGGGGTTAAAATTAATTCTTTTCATCTCCCCCTGCAGAGGAAGGAACAGGAACCTCTGCTGCTGCTAAACTCGTGCCAAGGTTGTGTGACAACAGCTTCTAAATGTTGAAAGGGCCCTTGTTAATTAAGCACTATCATGGTGAGCTTTCACTGACACCCGCTCCTGGGCGCAGGCTGGGTCCCCAGTGCTGTGGGGGGAGGAGCTGTTATCATAATGATGCCTTCAGAGTTGGAGAGCAGAATTCTCCACAGAACAAACTTTACACATGAAAGCACGTTTACACCAGCTGTCGCTTGGTCTCCATCTGTTCTGTGATTTGGCCTTTTGCCCCTCCAGATGGGATCTTGATCTCTTTACTGAGCGGCTGTTGTAAGTCTCCCTTTCCAGCCCCTTCTACCCCCACCCCTGCAGTATTTCTTACAACTTTTTTGGCCTCAAATTTGTTTTTCATTTAATCTGTCTTGTTATCCTATAGCACTACTCAAACATCACATTTCTCGCAGAATTAAACCTGAGGATATTAAAGGGGTTTTTTTCCGTCACTCTCACCTCCTTGCTGACTTGTGTTGCCTTAAAGGTCAAATGATAAGTAGCAAACAAATGTGTTCTCAGTAGTAGAGAACCATGAAATAAAAGCTTCTGTGATTTAACTCCATGGATGCTTGATGAACATTGTGCTGGCATCTGCTGCTGTATGAAGATCCCAGCTTCCCTGTTATCCTTCACAGTATATTTAAGGTAATTAACTGCCACTTCATAAATGGGAGCAGAAATATTGAATGACTTGTACTGTGCGATAGAGAGCATTGAATGATGGTGTTGTCTTAGTGGTAAAGGCATCTTTTCTCTGTTTGTAGGACTTGATGCTAAGGGATAGAGGAGCATCTTTTAAATTTAGCCAGTTCTCAAATTGAGTAACCAGAATCAGCAGAAACATTCACAGTTCTGCAGACTTGTTTTTCCTGTTATTAAATAAGTAATCTAATGGAGGAATAACCCTCTGTCACTGTGCAAAATACAAACACCTGAGAAATGCCGTATAAATCACTTCCTCAGCCATGTTCCTCCACATGATCAGGAAAATTATTCAGACACATCACCTGCTAAGAGTTACTGCTTTTCCAAACCACCACTCTACTCTAGAGAGCTTGCTGCAAATGAAATGGAAATGACTCTATTTTGATTCCACAGAAGTAGATTGCTTATTAGCTGTAGTTCTTTAGTCACCAATGCTCTTAAGGAAGTGTGTGATCAGAAATTGAGGAACTGAGATATCACCAGTCTTTCTCCACTGCTGTCAGTCTGTTGTTTGTGATCTCCCTAATTTACAGCTCCTCGAGCCGAGTCACTTCCTGAGGACTGGGTGAAAGGAGGTAACTTCCAAACTACTTTTGTGTATGTTTTAGACCACTCTCTTCCTGAGCTTTTCTCCTCTTCTTGCCCCGAGTCTAACTGTAGCTCTAGGAGAAAGGGTGTCTAATTGGAAAGAAGAAAAGAAAAAATAAGACTTAGCATTGCTAAATGATTCCTTAACCATGGAAAGAAGCTATCGTGGGCTCAAGGGATGTTTTCTCAGACCCACAGGTCTGTCTGTCCTCTTCCCCATGCCACAGCAGCCTGGAGGACTGGCAGAAATTAAAAAGCTGGGAGCTTTCTAGGGCCTATTTTCTAAGCCAAGATTTGTCTTTCCCAGTATCTTCAACTTGTCTGTATTCAGAGCACAGACGTAAGGATCAGCCTGCCAAGAAGGAAGAAAATAAAGGAGATTTTCTCTCCTGATTTCTGCAGGCTGCCTTGACCCACTTTAGCTCTAAAGCCTATTCCTGGTATGGCTCCAACTTGGTTCTCACTGCACCTCCACATCTTAGTAAGAAATTCTTAAAGTCGGCTCTTGTGCTAACCCTGAGTCTGAATCTTTTGGATTTCCTTGGACAGCTTGCTGTCTTTGCTCCAGACCTCATGTACTGTGAGATCCCAGAGGAGGCTGCAAAAGCAATTCAAGAAGCTATTTTCAAATCAGCACTGGCTTTTTTCATGGCTGATTTTAACAGCGCTGCCACAGAACAGGTCTCCAGCTTTGAGCTGCCAGGAGGGCTGCTGCAATAGCTCTCCCCAGTGACAGACTGATTACCACATTCTCAGAAGCCTGCCTGGTGGCTTCTGCTCTGTGTTCCTGCTTGACTTCAGCTATCTCCAGATAAATACAAGGAAACTCCAAAGGAACCGGGTTTACTACCTAATAAAGTTTTCATCCTGTGTTACTTTGGATTATTAGAAGTGTTAGTTCCTCTTGGAGGCACCTTTTGCAGAGGAATAGCTGTTAAACTGTTTTGTTGGCTTTGTTCTTTTTTTATAAACAGTGGCAGTGTCTTCAACCCGAGGGCAGAAGGCAGAAATTCAATCAGAATGCTCGGATTTCTGATGAAGTGTAGGAAAGGCTTTCTGTCTTCAACTAAGAGATGAGTAATCAACAAAACATTTACAATTTATTCTGGCTTTTCTAGATACTGCAGAACACCTAATGTATGGCCATGCAAAGGAATCTTTAACTTAACTATTGCTGTCCAGTTGTGTTTTGCTGATAAGTGTTTTGTGGTAGCATGGGCTATAAACTCATTGGAAGTGTAGAGGTGTTGAGGATTGAAGTGCAGCAACCGTGTTCTCTGCCAGCAGTTTGGGCTTTGCCTGTTCCGCTGCATTGCTTTGCACGTCTCTGCTTTTTTAGATACTTCCCAGTTCATCACAGATAAGCTAAGTGAATAATAACATAATGATTATATATATCATATATAATATAATATATTTAATTTGGGGTTTTTTTAGGGTGGTGTGTTTGATTTGTCACTTATTTTCCTTTCCCCAGCTCCAAACAATAGCTTTATTGTGATAGTGGAATATTTTCCAAAATGAAATCTGAGGTGTAAACACTCTTTGCAGTCAAGATGGCAGACGTTCTGAACACTCACTGGATGTTTTCAGTTGGAGCTGACTTGCCAAGGAGTTACTAAAGCAAAAAGGCTTGCTCCTTCATTAGCAGATGAGTGGCCTTTCTCTGAGGAGAAGGGAACTCAGTCGAGTAGGACTTGAATTTAAGTGCCTTAGAAAAAGACCTGCAAGTGCAAAACACAAAGGTCAGAGAAATTAGGCAGCCACTCCGTCTTGCCTTTTTTCGTTGGGTCTGAAGTCCCAGCCCTGTGTCCCTTTATGAGTCAGGCAGTTACCAGCAGGGGGAACTCTTCTTTCAATAATTTTCAAGAAATATGAGAAGAAAGCAGCAAAAAAATGGTCCTTGCCTAATTAGCAAGAGTACTTCCAAAGTCCTTGGTTTACAGTAAAAGTATAATGTGGAAATCAAGGTAATCCTCCATTTTTATTCTGCTTAATTTTTTGATGTTCAGCAGACTACGCTGGAGTTGTTAGAAGCGTCAAGGCAATGACTTCAGCAGGACAGCTCTCCATTGCAGACATATGCCTATAAACGTGCGTGTGCCTGCTTGTCCTCTTGTCCTGGGATAACACAGATAGCTTCATGCAGAGCAGCAGCCACAAGCTCTGCAGTTGATGTTTGCAAAAACATTTCTGCCAGAATTCTCCTAGGAACCTTGTCAGTTGTTGGTGGTTCCAGGGAGACGAGAGTCATGCTCACACTGAGAATAAACAGCAGACAACACTGCGGCAGTGTTTGTGCCTGTTGTCTCTCCAGGAGGAACCCGTTGATGTATGAGCGAAGAAAGGTGAAGTTTTATTTCATACCTAACTGAGACACGGTGTTCACAAGGGGGAAGGCTTGGCAGCTGCTTTCCTTTTCCTTTCATCTTCCTTGCCTTTATGAGTTCCCTCTGCAATTCCATCAACAGATGTTTTAAAATAATGTTTAGAGTGCATATAGAATAGGTTAGATGTACTGTGTGCGCGTGCATTCGGAGGTGCATTAAGTGTTTGACAGTGGTGATCTGCTGGTCACAGGATAGTAAAGACTCATGCTTAAATGACAACAGTTTGAGGGATAACGAAGCTACCAGTGCTGCTTTGAAATTGATGAGTTACCAGTCTTAAAGATATTACTAAAAAAAAAAACCCATCACCCCAATGGTAAACATTAAGAAGAATTGGGATCTGTTCTGTGCCACTCAGTTAAGGCTCAGTGGTTTTGTGAGCTTAACACGCCGGCCTCCACGCGCTCTGGCAAAGGAAACAAGAATTCCTATTGGATTTCTCAGACTGAAAAGTACACGAGAATCAGGCATCTACTGGGGAAAAACATGCCAGCTTTGGAGTCCCATTTTAGCATGTGGAGAGTGTCAGGGCAGGAGGGAGTGGATGTGTGTCTGAAATAGGTATTCTCATAACGTTTCATACTTAGAGTTACAGTGCATAACTAACAGCATTTCAGCAATGGTGAGAAGATGCATGTGAAGAACAGGAAGGACTGTAATTACCTCAGACTGAATCTGCTACAGCTGGATGTCACTGCGCAATGAGGTGTGTACAGTTTTAAATATTTTAAGGAAAAAAAATTAAAATGCAAATGGCATTTAAGGCTGGAGAAATCACACATTCCAAGGCAATAGAATCGCAGCCCCCATGTACATTTAAACAGCAGAGATCGTTATCTCCATCTTCTGTGGTCACGGGTAAAGCAGGCAGCTGAGTCTGTATCTCCTGGCAGTTTGATCGCCTGACACTCATTAGCTAAACTTCTTAAAATCACTTCTCAGAACAATGCAAACTGTTTTCCAGGCAAATATAGCCTCTCTTGTTCATTATCGGCTTTGAAGAGCTGGACCTGCTTTCAGGAAAAAATGTGCAAGTTCCTCCTCTGATTGAAGTTATTCTCAGAACTGTAGCGTGACTTTCTCCCAAGGTCTTGGCAAATCTCATTTAGGGAATGTGATAGGCTGTAATTTGTTAATTTGTTTTACAGTGAACGTGGCAGGAAAGACAAAATCTTGGTCTTAGGACTGAGAAAGAGAAGGCCCATCCTAATGGGCAGATCCTGCCCCTGCTTCCTGCCCTGCGTGGCAGTGCAGACACCCCAGCAGCTAACTGCATTTCTGTACGAACAGCTGGGCTGGAAGGAGTGTTCACATCCACATCTGGAGAGATCCAAAACTCAGAACACAAAAAGCACAATTGAATGACAATCTTCACTAACGAGGGCTGGATTTTATCAGCTGGATGCTTTAAATTAGTGCCTAGTTTTAACATGAGCTTCATTTTATCTGGTCTAAGGATAATGTTACAAGACCACAATCTGTAGATCTATATGTACGGTACATCCAAAATATCAAAAAGGGAGAACCTTACTTCTGGTCAGGCTTCATGACTTCTGAATGCTTGGTTTTGAAATCATTTCTCCAGAAAGCAATTTTCCATGCAATAACTGAACGCAGCTTCAAATGAAATTAAAGATTGAACTACTCATTACTCCATTCTGGCTGCAGTAACTTAATGCAGTAATAGTCGCTGCAGGACTGCTAATGAGAAGGCATAAACAAAGAACTGATTAGCTCTGATTAGTTCTGTAAGAATGTTCTAGAGTAGCATCACTTAAATCAGAGTGCTAGAATCTGTACAATAAAGTGCACGGTAACAGCTAACGTTAACCTTCATTGTGGTCAAAACCAGACACTGAGAGAGCTCTCCTCTTCCACCAGCATAAAAATAAAACCAGACTTAGCATCAGAACAAAATGGCAGCTCAGTAACTGAAACACTGAACAACTCTTTGTTTGTGGATACTTCCAGAATCCATGCCTGTTATTCCCTACAAGGTCCAGACTGCAAACGCACATTTACATTTCCCTTTTTACATCACTTCTCATTGTCCTCTGCCTTTTTCTTAGTTGATTCACCTTTTCTTTTCTTCCCCAGCTATTTGAGCCCTTTAAGCTCATTCATACTTTCTCTCTGTGCTCCACAGGGTGAATCTTACCCTGGATTCCCAAGTCTTTTGTACGATTATCTCTCTGTTCCTGCAGAAGTGGAAAACAGCAGTGATAAAAACTTTAAACTCTGTTCAGTCCACTCCCACTTCTCTACTACGGAAGATTGCTGTGATAACATTGAAGATTGTTTATGGAGAAAAGGTGGTTTGGATGAATTCGAAGAGTTTCGACAATGTTCTGAGCTCCTCTACTCTGCAGGTGCTAGCAGAGTTAACAGCATCTTAGAGAAAGGAAAATAATTTCACAGACCATTAGGGCTGGTGGGAAGCAGCAGGATCAGGTTTTAATGAATACAGGATCAAAAGCATCTTAAAGCAAAACAGCCCCAAAAACAGGAGCAGGCTCATCAGGGAAGATAGGAGATGCTTCTAACGAGAAACAAAGGACCAACTCAAAGACGTTTGGGAGTCACTTTCTCACAATTGTGCATTTTAAAGTATAATTTACTCTTCTCAAAAATTAGCTTTGATACGTTTCCAATACATGTAAAAATAGCGCTACGAACAGATTCCCTGCAATTAAAGCTTCCAAGTCAGAATCTTTCCAAAGGAGGTCAAGATTCTTTACACAATGTTTGTTTTCTCACAATTAAAACTAGATTTGAATCACAGCGACAGTGCCGAAGTTAAACTGTCTTAAAAGTGTTTTAAAGGCAGGCAAGCAAACTGGCAATGTGCAAAGCAGTAAGCTTTGGGTGTGTGTGTGGAAGGCGTTTCTCACAGAGGTGCTGATCGTGGTTGTGTTTTGTACTCCTTGTAGGGCTGTTTGCACATGGTAGCTCTGCTAGAGCAAATGTATCCTTTCCTGTTCCAAGGGACGTGGGTGCTGCTGGAGCCAAGTGCAGGGAAGGTTGGGCAAAGTGAAACAACCAGTATGTAAAGGAGTGCTGGTTCCCAATTCTGTATTTTTAATTATTGTTATTTCAGTATGAATAAGCTGCTCTACTTCTCTACACTTCAAAAACATTTTTTTTAAAGACATTATATATATTTATATTCAACTCACCTTCCTCCTTGGTGCAACGCTGAGGATTAGTGAATCGTTATCTTTAATTATTATTTGATTCATAGTTAAGGGAAAGTTGGAGTACTGGACTCTGTCTAGCTCAGAATTTGCTATTCTATTGCAAATTAATTTTTGAGGAAAAGTGATGCAGAAGAAAAAAACCCAGTTTCCTGTCCCTGGTGAATCCTCAGACTTGCTTGGTTCAAAGAAGCCCGGATCTCAGAAGCTTTTCCTTTCATCACCAACCACATCAGCACTTACTGTTCTCCAGTGTGTTCTGCTAGTGCCAAAGCCTGGACTCCTGCAACAAGATAATAACAGTGTCAGCTTTGTACTGGGCTAGGGGAGAACGTGACATTTTCAAGAGGATGGAGAAGAGACCCCAGCAGAAGTCAGACTGGAGGGATAACCTATTTGATTTTTAAATGGCTGTGGCACAGATATTACTATTTCATAATGAAATAATATAAAGTTGGTAATACCAATATTCTTTTTGCATCCTAAATCAAACAAACAGTACCCTTAAGCCAATAAATGATTCCATTACTTCTTGTGAATGCACCACAGCGTTCCTTCCGCATTGCATGTGGAAAATGTGCTTCGTGGATTTCTCATCAGCATAAGAAGAGGTGAATCAAGTAACTCGCAGTATTTCTTTGGCTGTTGCATATATAAAAGCCTCATTAAGTCTCCCCAGCGACTGGAGATGGATTTTGTTTAGAATGGTTTTGTTTGTTTTTGTAACAAAGATAGCAAATATGGGAAATAATTAAATAACTGTGTTTTCATACTCTCCTGATCATCAGAAGCCTATATGAGATTTTAATTAGTGCTGCATTTTCAATAACTCTGTATCTGTACGTGTTGCAGATTCTTTCCTGGATAACAGGGAGATAATTATGAGAATCCTGTTTTTTCGGTCTCTCACTAAAGGGATGGCTGATACATTTAATCATGATGTAGAAATGCTGGCAGCTTTCTCTGAGTTCAGCCTCTCTCTAATTACATTTCTAGATTTTTAGTAAATTGAAAGGGAAAACGTAGGAACAAAATAATTAAAACCAAAGAGGAAGTGAATATTAAAAAGCAGGAGCTATTTAAAATTCTCGCACACAACTCCTTCATGGACATCACTTTAATCAGCTTCGCATAAAAATCAAGCTCACGTTTACACAAAGCACTTCCAAAGCTAATGTACTTTAGTATTCATTGGATCTTTCCATGCTGAAAAAAAAAAATAACCTGTCTTGTATCATTTAGGTGATACTGGGACTTATACCCAATACCCCCAAAGCCTGTGAGGATTTGGTACTCCCACATGCACCTACTCCCATTAAACATCCAAGGACCAAGCACTACCTATGCCTAGGAATTGTCTGCTAATAGTAGCACTGAATTGTGCTAAAGATAGAAGGTAGAGCTTGTGAAGGGCGACTTCACACGATGCCTGCACTCAGCAGGTCAGAAGCGACCCTTAGATTACTTGTTTATATGAAGGAGTGGTAAGATTACATCTTTGTTTTCACAGATATCCAGTTTAATTTTCCACTTCCAGGGAACAAGAGAACTTTGATCAAAAGAATGTAATAAACTGCAAAAGAGGTTGACCTCCCTGCTGCTACGTGACACACGGGCAGTCTTGAATTAAAGGTGACATTCCTGTTTATCATATCCCCAAAAAAACCTCCTATCAAAGCTCTGCAGCCTCAGAGTGCTAATCTAATGCAGCAGAGGGGGGGAAAACCTTTAATTTTCTCCAAAATTGGTGCTTTAATTTCCTTTTATGTTTCAGCTAGAGGAGAACAAGCACGGTAGTAGAAATTGAGAGTTTGTGTTAGGAACCCGAAAGCCAAAAAAAAAAAAAATGGAAAGAGAATGAAAATAAACTTCTAGGAGAAACGTGTATCCAGAATAGGAATGGTATGACCAATTCTGTACTTCCCATGAGGCAGTTTTATAGCATTTCTTCATTACTGTGCAGCATTACCTGCTGTTTTGTCACCATAGGCAGCAGTTTGTGAAATGAAGGAATGAAGCAGGGTCCAAAAACCAGTCGTGATTTGGATGAGACACTTGCCAAGAAAACCCAGGATGCTGCAGAAAGCGTTAGCAATAAAAAAGGCAATATTGTCTGAGTCAGTAGTGGACAAATGTGGAAGCCCAGTATGTAGGAGCAGTTGCGCTATGAGAAGCTCCATTTTCCATACAAGAATGGAATAAGAAATAAAAAGACAACACATTTTTGGTTTAAGTGTTGTCATATATGAATTTTGCAAAGCAAAATCAACTAAAAACCTTTCTCATTTCAGTCACAAATTGCTTTTTCATCGCTTGGTACCACAAATCCATTTCATACCTGATAAAGGAGCGCTGTTTTTCAGTGCAGAAGCACACACTTCTAACAACATTGGCTTTCATTTGGCAGTCTGTGTGCTCATCACACACCAGAATACTGGGGAGAACCTGGTGCTGTGTCTGAGAACATGTCATGCACTACTATCAGCATGTGAAATAAATATACTAAATGTATATGTATGATATATAGATAGATAGATGCAAAGCCTCTCTGGGCAATCTGGTAAAAACATTTCTCACAGTCAGGCTGTATCTGTTTTGCTCCACAATGTCCTCACAGAAACACCACAGAAACACCGAAGTTGGAAAACACTTACAAGCTCACCCACTCCCCATGTGCACAGGCAGTGTGAGGTTTTCCACACAGCTGCTGTGAGGCCTTTCTTAAACCTTCCGTTTAGGATGACATTAATTTGTACCAGGGAACTTTCAGGCTGGATACTGGCAGAAATTTTACAAGACGTAAAACTAAACCACACACCAGCTCTAAGCAAAGCCCTTAAAACCTAACACACCACCAGAAGAAGCCTGTAGGGCAGGAGAGAGAGCGAACCCTTACACAACACCAAGGCACGACGTTGATACCAACGCGCCACCATGGCGGCCATCGCCTCACAGCGCTGTGAGGGCGGCACGCGCCACCTCACCCGACGCCTTCCCGCCTTTTTCCCCCGCCCCTCGCGCCGCGGCTCGTCTCGCGCACGGCGCATGCGCAGTGATCCCCGCGGCGGCGGCGGCACGTCGCTGGGAGGCGGCGTAGTGGGGAGCCCGGATGTGTCAGTGTAGGGCGGTATGAGGAGACCGCAGGGGACAGCAGGCAGTGGTGTCCGTCTCAGGTGAGGTGGGAGGGGCCGTGCGGGGGAAGAAGCTGAAGGAATCGGGTGAAGAAATCGCCACAGGGACGGGGGGAAGGTAGTGCCGTCCCCTCGCCGCTTGCTTCCGAGAGGTTGCGGCGGCGGCGGCCCTGCGGTACTACTGGGAAGTGAGGGACCCACCCAGGTCTACCAACCCCCACCCCCGCTTCTCCGCCGGCAGTTTAAATGGCGCTGCGACAGGAGTGGCTCCTTGCCAAATAGTGAGGTATGAAACGTAAGGGGACTCCGAGTCATACAGCGCATGCGCAACCGCACTGCCAGAAAGTGAACCACGAGGGGAGGGCGAAGCAGGCGGGGCGGGGTCGGGCACGCATGCGCGGAAGTCGGAGCGGTAGCAAAGGGCGCATGCGCAGGAGGAAGTCGAGGCTCTTGACTGGGTGTTGTGTGAGGGAATGCGCGCGTGCGCAGTGGCCGGGAACGGGGGGGAGGTAGGGGTTAGCGCAGTGCGCGTGCGCGGTCGGCAGGGGAGCGCTGGGAACGGCCATATCCTGCTCGTCAGGTCGGCGCCTGCGCAGTGCGCTTCTGCGGGGACCTGCGGAATACTGAGCCACAAGGAGCGTGCGGGACCAATCGGAGGAGGAAGACATGCTGCCAAATAGTGAGCTCCAGCTGCTGGTGTTCTCCTAGGGGGGCCGGCTGCGGAGCGGGGGGGCAGAGTCTGGGGGTCTCCATCCCCACGCGCCGCAACTGTCGTGGCCGGGCCGCTCTGCCTTCCCCCTGCCGCCCTGAGGGGCTTTTCGGGCTGGGAGGTAAGAGCTGAGGGAAGGGGCAGGAGCTGAGGGGTTGTGGGGGGGGACAGTGGATGGTGGGGGGGGTGTGGGGGAGTGGGAGAAGTTGTGCGGCTGCTGGGGTGCGGGGAGCTGCGTGAGGGAACACGAGTGGGTGGGAGGGAGGAGTGGAAAAGCTGAGGTTGGAACGTATCGCCATAAAGGGCTGACAGGTCCCGGCCTGGCGTGGGGCACAGCTGCAAAACGGGAGAGCCCACAGCGCGGCGTGCTTCGTGGGCTCCATGGTGCAGCATCATCGTGCTGGGAAGGCGTGGAGGGCAGCTGGGGGTGCAGATAGCGGGGTCTGGTGTGACCCCTCTGCCAGCGGGGTCTGCTGGTGGTGCAGCTCACAGAAAGCACCGGCTTCGTTGGTGATGGATGGTGGTAGAATGGGAATCCCGTGGTGATCCCAAAGCTGGTTGTGAAACCCGAGTTGTTTTTCTTTTTTTTGT